CCCGCTCTTGGGTTCCGCGGGACACGTAGGGCCCCAGGGTTGCTGCTGTGAACAATGCACTGCCCGAAAAGGTTTGACGGGGGTACAAGCTAGATGTCTGCCCCGAAATCTGGAGGGCATATTATTAGCGCGATGCACGACCGTCCAGGCGGGAAGAACACAGGCTCAAAATACCTGGGACCAAGGTTTGATTTCCGGAAAGCCTCTGTAAGGAACCGATGTACGATCTGTTGGCTCTTGAGGAGGGAGTCAAATAGCGCACCCTTTTTCGTTGCACCAGTTTGGTCGTGCTTCGACGAGAGATGGCCGTGTGATACACGGGCGTTCGCGCCCAAAATTTAACGGAGATACCCTCCCCCGCCCCCCGGGTGATCAGGGAGACAGGAAGGAAAAAAAAAACACATGTAGCATACCGCTGTAAGTGTCCCACACCCTCGGAATCACACCTACCCACCGTGATCCCATGCCTTCCACACGTGACAAAAACACAGCAGAGCTCCGATCGACCTCAAACCAATTGCATCGTGTAGGTACGGACTAGACTACGGCTATCCTGCAATGTTACTTAGAGAAGCTACAATGGGTCCGCCCCGTGGCTGCAGAGATATCCTGAAAAGGGGGGTTCCGCAGCATGTCATGAAGCAGCAATCGTCTCGAACCTCCGTCCATTCAGCTCCCATTGGCCTCAAACCTTTGGCGCCGTGTCCGCACGGTCGATGCCGTTCTTCCAAGCTATCGGACACTCCCATCCGACATGTTCCCGCAGATATATGGTCAACAGGGGGGGTTCTGCAGCATCCAGGGGGGTGTACTCATCGTCGTGCATGCCGTAGTCGTTAGACCATTGACCTCGCATCCCTACAAAGCCGGGACGGAGCACGCCGGGTTCTCACCGGACCAGGCTCTAGGGGGGGGGAAATGTCAATTGTCCCGCTATACCTCCCGTCACATAGCTGAACCACGCCTAAATCTGCCCGGACCATGTTGGCACAGCTCACAGCTATCATTCAAGCCATCGGGCACCCCAATTGGACCAGTGGGTGCAGAGAAACGCCCACCTTCGGGGGCTCAGTGGCTCGAGGCCGGTGGAGCAGATAAGCTTAACGGCTCCACCAGGCCAACCTCTACGTAAAGGTTGCCGTTTGCTCTACCAAGGCTTGCGTTGCGTCGGAACGGCTCACAGCTATCATTCATGCCATCGGACGCCCCCCGATCGGACCAGTTGGTGCAGAGGAACGCCCACCCACGGGGGCTCAGCGGCTCAACGGCCTGGTGGAGCAGGAAAGTTTGTCTGCTTCGCCGGGCCAAACTCTACCTACAGGGCGCTGTGTGTCACGGAGACTTGTGGCAGGATAGGGGCATCCCGTGGACACGGATAAATGTTCTCACATGGGCACCCGGGCTAACGGGGATTTCCCCCCACACAACGGGCACCCCCCCCCCATAGCGCCCCCCCCTGGTGGTTTGGGGCACTCCCCCTCAACTAACGGCACTACCCGTCAACAAGAGGCACCCCACCTCCACTATGGGCACTCTTCTCTGCGTACGGGCGTCTCTTGGCGCCGTGGTCAGACGGTGCAGTGCCCTAGGGAATGATGTAGTTGCATTGTATTTCCTGGGCAGATACACTGTATTCCCTGATCACATACACTGTATTTGTTTATCACATACGCTAAACGCTGTATTCCCTGAGCAAATCACTGCATTCCCTCATCAGATACACGGAATTACCTCGTTCGTTTCGTTGTACGCTCTCCTCAAATGCACTGTATTCCCTGGTCCGGTAATGCTAAATACGACACCGGTGTCGTAAATCCTTAACTACAACACCATCCGGATCTCAGCTCAGAGGGCTCCAAATGGCGTCAGACTAGGTTTGTTTGTTGGAACGCCACGATTCTTAGCAATCACGCAAGCTTTGTTTCAACTCCAGGGGCCACGCGGTTGGGAAGATATCATCGAGAAACGGGGTTCCGCAGCATCACGGCCTGGGTCCCTAGTAGTAGGCTGCCATTTCTCAGCCCGCAGGCTTCCAATGTGGGTTAAATTAGTTTCGACGCCACCGTCCTAGGCTATCACACAAGCTATCTTTCAACCCAATCGGCTAGGTGGATGCGGAGATATTCTTGAAGCGGGGGTTCCGCAGCATCATAGGCAGGGTCCCCTCACGTATCCGATCATATCTCAGCCAGCAGGTCTCTAAAAAACGTCCAAGTAGTTTCGTTAGAATACCATCGCCCGTAGCTATCACTCAAGCTCTTGTTCAGCTCAATCCGCCAAGTGGTTGCGGAGATATCGTCGGAAATGGGGTTCCGCAGCATCATTGGCAGGGTCCCCGGTATCAGGCCATAGCTCAGCCCACAGGGCTTCAATCGTCGTAAAACTGACTTCGTTAGGTAGCCACGGCCCGCAGCGATCGACCTCCAAACGTGGTTTACGTCGACCCAATGAGCGCACAGCAGCCCAGAACTACTCACGCTACCTTGTCACGACCCGCAGCTATCGTTAGAGCCGTGGATNAATACCATCGCCCGTAGCTATCACTCAAGCTCTTGTTCAGCTCAATCCGCCAAGTGGTTGCGGAGATATCGTCGGAAATGGGGTTCCGCAGCATCATTGGCAGGGTCCCCGGTATCAGGCCATAGCTCAGCCCACAGGGCTTCAATCGTCGTAAAACTGACTTCGTTAGGTAGCCACGGCCCGCAGCGATCGACCTCCAAACGTGGTTTACGTCGACCCAATGAGCGCACAGCAGCCCAGAACTACTCACGCTACCTTGTCACGACCCGCAGCTATCGTTAGAGCCGTGGATGACCTCAATCGGACCTGTGTCAGCCGAGACATGCTTACCCACGGGTTAACGGTGTTGCCGCAGGGTGGTGTCGTAGATAAGGTTAACTACGACATCACCCGCATCTCGGCGCACAGAGCGTGAATCAACGTAAAACCGACTCGAATGGGTTCACACCATCCTCAGCTATCGTGAAAGCCGTTACTTGGCTAATCAGCCCGGTGGCTGCGGGGATACGATCACCCACTGGGGTCCGGCCGCCCCGAGAGTGGTGTCGTAGTTAAGCGCCTAACTACGACACCACTCATTCTTCGACCAAAGGCCACGACTCGACGCCAAACCATTTGCGCTGTGTTGCTAGAGGTAGCGGGCGTCGTTGGAGTCGGTGGCGGGTGAATTTCATCCGGTGGGTTAGGTGGAACGCCTACATCCGAGGGCCACGGCGCCCCGGGGGATGGTGTCGTAGATAAGATTAGATACGACACTACCCGCATGACAGCGCACAGAGTTTCAATGACAGTAAAACCGAGTTTATCGGAAACCCACGATCTTCAGCTATCACGGAAGCTGCTACTCGGCTGCATCGGCCCGGTGGCTGCGGAGATACCATCACCCGCAGGAGTCCGGCCGCTCCGAGAGTGGTGTCGTAGTTAATTTCTTCGACCAAAGGCGACGAATCGACACCATACTTTGTGTGCTGTGTAGCTAGAGGTAGCGAGTGTCGTTGGAATCGGTGGCGGGTGAATTTTATCCGGTGGGTGCAGTGAAACGCTTATATCCGAGGGTCACGGCGGCCCTTACAGTGGGGGTGTGTGTCGTGGTGAAGCCTTATCTACGACACCACTCATTTCTTCCACCAAAGAAAGGCCACGAGTCAACACCGTGCGCTGTGTTGCTAGAGGTAGCGGGCGTCGTTGGAGCTGTTGTGGGGTGAAATTCTTAGGGTGAACACATACCAGTTGAGGGAACGCATGTAGAGTTTGTTGTTAGCGCAAAGGAAACATGGGGGGGGCCCGCACGAATAGTAGACGTGGTACGCCAAATAGATTCCGTTCTTGTCTCGTTCTCGATATATCTGCGCGCCCCACGCTGTCAAGCAACGCCCTCCGCACCGGCACAGCAACCATACCGGTCAGGAGGAACAGCAACCCATACTCTTCGACGGGAAACCCCGTCTACGAGGCCCTGTCTGATGTGCAGGAGGACCTTAGGCTGATCCTGTACGACGTCCGAGGGAACACTCACGGCGTCGCGGTGGATAATCCTCGACTCAAGGAAGCTCTTCGTAAGGCGTCGAAGCTGCATGATCCCATCCTCAGCAATCCGGTGCCGTCACCGTCGCAGGCGTGCATTTTGCGTTCTACGACACGCCGTTGTTCGTTTGTCTTCCTTGCAGTTGGAGCCCTGTCGTGCACACCGGGTTAGAGCATTCACAGCAGTTGCAAGAATTCGTGTAACAGGGAGCAACACTCCCTGAGAACAGACGCGGCGGAAGCCAGAGCTTGGCTTTTCGCGCGCTATCGCTGCTGTTGCCCGTATCCAAATTCCCTCCTTGAGTGGCGCAGGGGGGTACAATTCCCTACCTTCCTGCCTCCCTCATGGTTTTCTCTCGCTTGCTCCGACCTCCCTCCTGCGTTTTGTCGCTAATTGCACGTGTCATGTTTTGCTGCCTTCCCCAACTTGAAAAAAATAAAATTACAATCGGAGCAACAAACTAGGGTGGCCACCACCCGGGCGTTCAGGATTTTTTGCTCCCAGGTTTACTCACATTTCTACAGCAGCAGTTTTTCCTGCGTTTTTCCTGTGGTTTTGGAGGACAACACCTGCGACGTGTCCCTGATAGTGAGGAAAGATTGTATCTCCACAGGTTCACGAAAGGTTTTTCGTCCATACATTTCCGTTTTGTTGAAAATAATTTCGAACTCATTTTCGGTGTTTTTTTTTCCATTTCCATCATTGGACGTGCAACGGCATTGCCGTGGCAGTGCCATGGCAGGTCACGGCGCTGCCGTGGCACGCCCAATAGTGGATAACCCCCTTAATTTTGTAAAATTCCGGCACAAACTTTGAGTCGGTTGTGTACCAAAACTAACTCATATTCAGTCTCTGTATTGAACAGTTTATCCACCGAATCGGACCTCGGTCCTGCAGTGTGTTGTTCAAACCTGCAGGAACTAACGGATTCAAGGTCAATGCGAATTCCTTTCCGATGCGTTTGGAGCAGACGGAAAAGGAACTACTAGACAAGGAACTTAGCAAAGACTACTTCACGGCAGCTCTTCTTCGCGGGGTACAGCACGTAGATGGGTTAGGCGCCGGGACGCCCTTCATCACCGCGGGTGACGGCAACTGCCTGTTGAACGCCGTGGCCCAGCTATTCGCGAAAAAAACCCGCGGGATGGGGAACGAGATTAAATCCTTGGCGGCGAAGCTACGACTGAGCGTAACCCTCGAGGGGATGCGGCACATGGAGGCATACCTCTCTTGTCAAGAGGATTTCTCTATGTGTTGGTCCATTTACGGGAATGAATTGCGAGAAGGACTGCCTAAGCTGGGGTGGACCATCGAGGCAGACGCGCACAACAAGCATCGACTGGGGTCTCGTAATTGTTCCCGGCTGATGTTTGTTGCGCAGCTCAAGCACGTTGCCGGGAATTGTAACTGGCTGCAGCAGTTCGCCTTCCCGTTGCTGGCGATTGTCATCCAGGTGCCCCTCCGAGGTTTCGTTCCGTGTAAGTGTCATCTCTCCATCGTATACCGTCTACTACATAGATAACGCCATCGATTGTTCGCCAGTGCCATTTACTCGGACATGATACTGTTTTCAACGTCACACCAGACGCGGGAAGTCACCCGATGTGTCCAGTGTCTAGGGTTGGGAAGAGGGCCATTCTGTGGTAGTCAAACTACGGAGTTATTTGTCGCAATTGTCTGAAGTGGTTCCTGTGTGGCCTTTGTTGTGGTGTCTTGTGCCTGTTCTACCGCAACCAATCATGTATGTCACAGTCTTGTCGGGTGAGCCTGGGTATCTTGACGTTGTGATGGGCCCATTGTTGATGTGTATGACGCACGTCGTGTGCCACGCGTGATTATCTCCGATTTTTGCCCGTTATGCTCATGGAGGTCCTTGGGGCGGGAAATGTGTGCGTGTCAGCAGCAGTGTCACGCAGGGCTCTCCCGGCTTCTACTTCCCGATGGCCCTTTGTACTGCAGACCACAGCCTTACGCCCACATACGGAGCTTCGTGGACACACACCCTGTTCCAACCGTGTTCACCGTTCGGCCTGGGCGTACACACCCAGCAGTTCATGTGGTTATGACGATAATGTCCAGTGCGGACTACCGCTCTAACTTCAACGACGCGCCTGGTTGGCGGGACCGGAGCGGCGGCGTTCTGCCGGAGCTCAACCACTTGGTGTCGTTCTCCGGCACTGCCGCCGGAGCGCATGCCCTAGCCGTTGCTGCCTTTGCCGATATGGGCACAGCCGCGCGTGAGAGCTTGGAGAAGGCACAAACCGCAGTGGCACAAGCTGAAGAGGCGCCGGATCTGCACGAGACTCGTGTCGCCGAAAAGAGGATCGCTTTGAGGGAGGTACGAAGAAGGGTTCCATGACGTTGGTGTATTTGTCTCTGCTGTTGTGGGTGGCACTGCTTCCACTTCTTGCGAGACACCTGTCCACTCCATCGCGTGCACGCTTCGTGACCTTTGGGCGTTTGTCCGTCCTTGCACCTCCAGGCTCGCGACATGTTGAAGATGCACGAAGCGAACCACGCACTTCTCACGGGCACCTACTTCGTGAGTTGACTACCCGTTCGTGTGTGATCGAATCTAATCCTCCACAATTGCCAAATCCTTGGCCTAGTTTTCTGGCGGCTAAGTTTGGTTGTGGGCCTTGTCGTGTGTCGTTGATGTAGCTATGCATAGATGCCATGATCAGCACGGCTACTTGCCACCGATCGAGGAAACTTGGAGCGTTTGTTTGTCCAAACAGAACTCCCGATGACAACCATGTGCGGCCGCCATCAGGTCCCATTGGCTTCAACAGGGGCGGCGGCTAACGCCAAACAGGAAGCCCACAACAAATGCTTGGTGAGACCCTGGGTTGCGGCACAGGTGCCGATATTCCAGTGTACCTTTCGATGCAGCAGACATTGAGGATAACGTCGCTATGTTGCCGCGCAGGGGCCGAGATTCCATCCTACCTTTTGAACGTTGGAAGAAGCAAAAAGCGAGGAATTCGTGGCCACTAAGAATGCAAGTGGAGTCTCCAATCACTCGCTTGCGCGGTCATGTTCGTGCGTTCCTTACAATCATCCTCAGGACGAAGAGTCCGTGGAGCGGAAGCGGAGGGAAGAGGCGCCTGAGGCCGAGGCGCGCTCCCGAAGGCGGAAACAACAACAGGGGGCGGCCGACGGAGGGAAGGAGGGAGAGGGTGGGGGTTCTGGAGTGGGTAGTGCGGGCAAGCTAGCCGGCAGCGACCACAAGCACAAGCCTGGCGAAACGGGTGGAAGCCAACAAAGTGGGGGTGCTGGAGATGGCACTGGACATGGACAAGACACCATGGACCACGAGAAGGGCAGGAACGGTGGAACATGCGGCCCAGAGGAGCCGCGTGGAGGAACCGGCAAGGGTGGCGACGACGTGTTCGAGGGGGGCAAACGGCAGGCGACCAAGGACGGGCTTTCAACGGGTGCGCCGGCAGGGGACTGCGGCGGAGCAACGGATATGGAGATCCGTCAACTACGAAGGAAATCTCATGGGTTTCAGCGGCTCACACTCGCTCGAGAGGGGAGGGTGAGTGGAAGGTTCATCAGTGCCCCCCCGCTACGTGAAGTGGTATCGGCTTCATCGAGTATCATGAACGGCATAAATCGGAGCGCTTGCAGCTTGCGAATCCACCCTAACCGCAGGGAGGGGACCCCCTCCCCTTCCCATCCTGTGTGACCCCGGTTGGGTCGTCTAGGTTGTCGTAGTGGAGGACGGGGGCCAGTGGGACGACATAAGTCATTATTGGGAGTAAACGACAAATGAAGGATAAATAACGAAATAACAGATGAACGTGCTGCGTAGACGCTTGTGTACATTCCTATTAGGAGGAAACCAGAACGGTATCTGACATCGGCATGTACTTGTTGATGTGCCCGATACCTGTTTGTGTTGTGTGTGTAGACGGTCCTCCTCTCTTTGGCTATTTTTCAACGGCGATTTTACACGGTGTTGATTAGAATTTCGAATTTTCGTGTTGTTTTGCAAGCCCAAGACTTCTTCTCTTCGTCGCTCCCCCCCCTTCGAGTCAGCGACGCCAGCCCTGAGGATACGCACTGAAGGAACGATCAGCGTTCGTGCGTGCTCGTACGAAGTCCGTCCCCCGATGCGAAACACCGCCTGTTGCTGCATGCATGCGCCATCCTTGCAGGGATTCTTCGAGATTGGCGTGGGTACTCGCCTTCACACAGGAGCATGGGCACCTAGCCCGGCATGGGGGACAGTCATGAGGGTCAATGCAGACGAAGAAGACAAGATCGTATCGTATGACGTCCTCATGGACACGGAGTGTAGGGTGTCAACAGTGTCCGCTCGCAATGTGGAGATTGACGTGAAGCATGCGAGGGAGGTAGACAAGAGCAGTGCGGGTGCTCCCAGGAAGTCGGGAAGGCGGGGCGAGGCCGACAACAAAGGCAGGTCCGGAGTGGATGAGGGGTCGGAGCCCGGGGAGGGCAGGGAGGGCAGGAAGTCAGATGGGCAGAAAAGGTCGGGGCGTGAAAAGGAAACAGCGAAGGGGAGCAGCAGGAAGGGCGGGCGCTTTACCGACGATGAGGACCCGGACGGGAAATCGAGCGGAGGTCAACGAGGCAACGACAAAAAGGTGAGACAGGCTTGCTGCGGTCACTAACTTTGAATGGCAAGTGATGGAGGCACACGGTAAAGCCGCTGCGATGCCGTATGATACACCCATTGTCATCCGAGCGCGTCTTGTTTCTACGCAAGGGGGAGGGGTAATGCTGTCGACCATTGTTGATGGCTTTGTGGTTGTGTCCATTTCCCCGCTTTGTTGGTGTGCAGAGGAAGAAGGTGGGCGACCCTGATGAAGACGAGGATTCCGACGATCTTGCCTCCGATTATGAAGACCTTGCCTCCGACTATGAAGACGACCACGATGATGAAGACGACCGCGATGGCGAAGACGACAGCAATGATGAAGACGACCAACAAGGCGGGATCAAGAAGGTGATCAAGAAGGTAAGCCCCGCTTGCGGCGGCCCGAACGTTTGCACTCGGAATGGACTAGGCAATACCAGTCCCGACAACGTATTTGGTCGGCTTGAGGTCTCTGAGCTTCGTCTGAGCTTGTGATTGGACTGCGCAATCTCGCGGCCCTTTGATGCGGTGGCGTATGCAGGAGCAGGAATGTGCCGGCGGTAAGAGCAAGGGCAAAGGGGCGGATGGTGAAACGGACCAAGACACAGAAGAGGAAACTGGGCTGTGGGGAGACGTAGATGGGGGAGGAATTGCGCACCTTGGTCGCGCATTCGACGTGAAGGAGTCAGCCTACGACACGTGGGAGGCCGCATTTGCCACGGTCATCGGGGAGCTCGAAGAAGAAGGGCATCTAAACCTTCAAAAGTAGAGGCGCAAGTTGGTGAGTTGAACAGATCTGGTGTTTCGATTGCATGGCGTTTTATTGTATAGCCTAGGGAAGCCACGATGTCACGTCTTCACTCTGAAACGAGCTGGTGGAATCATTCGCGTTTCAACCTACGTTTCCCAATGCGTTCCCAATGAATTTGTTTTGCCTTCCGGCCTATGTGTCCGCAGATGACCGACAAGAGCAGGCACTGCCTCTGCGAAATCGTCTGCAAACACTCGGGGGTGGCGCGTAGGCGTGCGCCCCAAGTGGGGAAGCAGAAGAGGATGCGGAAGAGTAACATGATGCGTAACATAGGCTGAGGCTGTTGATGTTCAGAGCCGGAGTTCGCTGCGAGATTTTCGCGGGAGTGTGCGTCGGCCCCCTTTCAACACGCGTCGCGGGATACCCACATCTCTTGCGACGCATGTCCTGTGACTGTTCGTGGTGCAGATCAAGTGCCCTTTCAAGATCCACATGATGTGGCGAGTTGGGGCGACTAATCCCACCATAACGTCGGTGAGGATGGGAACTCGGGGTAGCCATTGTGCTCGTATCGTACCTCGCCTATATTTGCTGCCGCTGTAACGGCTACGTGACCAATAAGGGGTACCTGTCTTCGCGGTTGACGTGTTTTATTCTTCGGGAATTTGTCGCCGTTCTTTTATCGTTCCTTTATTCTCGTTTCTTCGTTTCGTTTCGTTTTTTGTGGTGTCGTCATCCGTTACTCCGTGGTTTTGTACTCCAACGAGTTATTCTTTCGCCGCATTTTCTGATTTTCGTTTGATGTGACCGTCGTTCGTTCGACATGCTCGTGTGCATGCCAAGCGAGTGCCGCTCTGCGTATCCAAATACCAACCCTCAGGCCGCACGAAATATATACTTGAGCCGTGTGTGATGATGACAAGCCTCGTCGCTGCCGTCAGGAAATCCCGTTTTCCCTGTTCCGACGGGCGTTGTTGCCGTCCTTGACTTTCCCGGTGCCTTTTTTGCCGTTTCTTTGGGGCGGTTCTTGTGCGTTTAACGTTCGTTTTTGATCTGATCGTGCGCGCTAGTCCTTCTGCAAGCACAACCACAATCCCCGGGGGAGCGTCTCAAGAGCCCAGGCTAAAGTCCTGCCGCCCGCAGTGGTCGACGAGAGATTCGAATACGTCCGCAAGTGGACGGCGGCTGGCGTCAAACCCACGGACATTTTCAAACTGCTGGAAATGGACTACGACGGTTTGTGCTTGGCGAAAAACGGGAAGAAGAAGGTAAATAGTTTAGCACGAGCTTTGCTGGCGGTCGCTGCGGACGGGCCGTTGCTGCAGTCGTCCAAAGCCCGAATGGGGAAGGGAGGGTGGGGGGGGGTGGGGGGTTCGAGAACGAGCAAATGTCGTAGCCGTGCTTGGCGATCATGGGGTGTGTATGCCCGACAAGTAGAATCGCCCCTGATCACAAAAATCGCGCGAAACCAAACCTAAGCCATGCTGTTACATGACGACGTGGGTGTGAAATGTCCGTTGATATTTGGCCGACTTTCTGCGCATTCCGAACGTTTTCCGAACCCTCCAAGGTGTACTACGCCATAAACAAGATTCAAAACGAGTTGTACTCCACGCCTGAGGATGGCGCCAATTTCCTCGCGAAGTTGGAAGCTGAGCCCGGGATGTTCGTCAAGCGCACTTTCGACAGCCTAGGGAGGATCGTTGATGTGTTCTGGGCCACCGTCGACCAACAGGACAAGATGGTGACGTTCGGCGGCTGTATCCAGATGGATACTACAGTGTTCACCAACAGCTACCTGCGACGGCGTGACTGCTGAAGTACGTTCTGCTCCGTTTCAACCGACCTCGTTGCTGTCGTTTCGAGTTGCCCTCTGTCTGTTGAGCTTCGGTTGTCCTTACCTACGACCCGCCTCCCGCGTGCGCACGCCACACCTTTTATCTTCGTTCGGTTTCTGCAGGTACGGGTGCCCACTCCTGTTCATAGTGGGCGTGAACGACGAAAACCGAAGGATGTAGTTGCACTTTATTTCCTGGACAGATACACTGTATTCCCTGATCTCACATACACTGTGGTTGTTTATCACATTCGCTAAACGCTGTATTCCCTGAGCAACTTCACTGCATTCCCTCATCAGATACACGGAATTCCCTCGTTCCTTTCGCTGTACGCTCTCCTCAAATACACTGTATCCCTGATCAGAATCACTGTATTCCCTCTTCAGATACACGGTGTTCCTTGTACTTTTCACTGTATTCCTTCACCATATTCACTGTATTCCCTCTTCACATGCGCTGCACTCGGTGGAATGCCATGAATCTCACGAGGGAATACAGTGTATCTGATGAGGGAATACAGTGAATCTGCTCAGGGAATACAGTTCATGTGACGAGGGAATACACTAAATCTGAGGAGGGACTGGCTCAAAGGCCACATATATACTATCTGCTCCACCGGTCTTTGAGTCATGACCCCGTGGGTGGGCGTTTTTTTGGCGAGATATGGTCAGTCCAGGACAATTTGTCCATTTTGTTTTTTAGCGATAACTTTCGA